CTGATTTGTATAAGGAAAAGAAGATCAGGAGTTTACTCAGCTCTTCTTATAGGATCTACTAAATGTGCTTGTGTGGGGAGGGATGATACATGTTTAAGAAAAATTGTATGTGCTTCTGTATTCTCCATATTTCACGTCCTGCTGGAAATGCAGCCACAGTGGTTCTGAAGTTTTTGCTGGGAAGGGTACATGCTATTACTCAGAAAAGGCCAACATTTTGCACAGAAAACACAGACATGTTGGAGATAATCCAGAATCCAGTTGTGGGTTATAAAATAAGAAGAAAGAATTCAATCAGTGATGACGTAGGGATGGATCAAGGGGCTATGGGAAGGATCAAAGGGTTTAAGGAACACGACAAAAATAGAGTATTTCTAAGTCATTTCTTCTCTCCCTAGGATTATGACTGTAAAATTCTTTTTCAGGGTTTGCCTGAAAAGTCAGCAAAGGACAGGTCAGATAGTTAGAGCAAAGGACTGATCTGATCACACTCTTGATCAGCAAGAGTTTAAAGATTTTCATGATCACCTTCAAGACCTTGCAGATACAATGCTGACAATTCAACAGTGTTTGATAAGTTGAGGATATTTTGGAAATATCTGAGTCAACAGTGGGGACCAGAAACAACAGGAGAGAGATCAGCTTTCCTCTTCTTTTCCCTGCTCAAAATAAAAGGAAAATAAGGAAGAAGATCTGTTCTATGCTTTGTTTGGCACCACTCAATTCATTGATCCTTCTGTTATTGCAGTGGTATGAGAAATATCCGCAAGAGAAATCACATCAGTCCCCTCAGGGGGAGACATTTCAAGATAAACCAGATCTGTCCCATGGAGCACGATTTCCTAACCGATTAATAGAGCGGACATTGCAAACCTCTTCCTGACAAGACACATCTGGGTGCATGGATGAGTTTGGAATGTCCCAGGAGAATTGGTCATGCATTTTTCACTTTGACTTTCAGATTTACTTTGCAGCTACTTGGGCTTCTAGGGAATTGGTAACTGGTTTATAGCTAGATAAGGTGTAATAACGTATAACTGCACTACAGTTGCAAGTTGAGCTGTCAGTGTCTTTCAGTGAGAGTGTTTTCATGGTCCAGGGTGAAGTGGACTTGAAGGAAATTATGGTTGATTAGAGGAGTCTTAGAGAAGACTAAGCCAGTAAGTCCAAGGAGATGGCAAGAGTAGTATCTTCCTCTAAAGTAAACCAATGACAATGTCTGAAACCTGCAGGTACCGCACAATGAAGCCAAAGACAGGAACTACAGCTAGCTTGGTGGTGAGGTCAACCCTCCTACCCTGCTTTTTACCAATGTTGACACCAAGGCAAGCCAAAATCCCAGCATGTAAAGCATCGTCATCCTCCCAGTGGCAAAATTCCCTACAGAGCTGGAGAAACAGAAAAAGAGAGTCTCTCTTTCTTAGTGCATTTTTTTTTAAAGAACAGGCTACAATCGAAGCCGAAGGAAATGGAGCAGAAATATCAAACTTTGTTTAGTCTGGGGAAATATCATTTATAATTAGAGATGGGCATCCTGTTGACATGATACAATCTATTTTAAGAGCGAGGTGAGCACATGGTCAACTGTTAATCTTTTGCAAGTGATTTATACTGCCAGTTCATCTCTGACTGGCTGGTTTCCATTATTTTCTTTTTAATCTGTAGTCCCTGAAAAGCAACTGGGCTAATGCCATCTCAAGATAGTGATGCTTATACTGGCAGTGATGCCTTGGATCATCTCAGTAGCGGGAAGTTTTGGTTTCTGTTTATTCATGGCTGTTCGTCTCCATGCCAGCTCCACCAGCCAAGCTTGCTGTTTTCTCCCATGGAAGAGTGGGAATCCCATGAGATCTGGAGGGGCTGAGCCTGTGGCAGGAGATGGCTCATGGTTGGCCTCATATGACCATGCATGAACTAGTGGTCCTTTTTTCTGAAGTGAAATTTGCTCGTTGACACATCCTGATGCCTGATTGTGAGGAGGGCCAAGTCTGTGCAAATGGGGCCAGGGTTCTCTCCCTGGGACAGACATTATTGGCTCAAGAGGTATAACCAGAGAAACATCCATCCATCAGGTGTCACCTGGAATCAGCCATAGGTTTACCCATGTCTTCTGAGACCCACACAACAGAGCTGGAGGTACAACAATAGTAGAGTCTGTGGGAATAATTTCTTCTGTTACCATATGAGGATTAAATTTATTTTTGGAAGACTTCTTCCCCTTTCAGTGATGGATCACTTTCCTATTCATGCTCCACTTGGAATATACAACAGGACTCATTTCTCTAAGTAGCAAGTCCACATGGCTGCCATGACATCAAATTGGCCATCAGGTCTGCCTGGCAATGTGACAGGAGGTGAAACAACGTACCCTTGTGCTTTGGTGAACTTTCTCTGTGGGTAATTCCTAGCTGACTAAAATAGCATGGAATTAGAGAAGAGTTTCAGCTTGGGTGGCAGGTATACCTCAAGAAAACAATGTTGAGCTCGTGCCAAACCAAACTGTGTAGCTGTTCACTAGAGATGATATCACAGGATGAAGCAATAATGGACAGTTAGTTCAGGCATTTCACAGAATGTCCAGGGCCGTGCTGCTTTCAGATCCTAAACTCACTTCTTGATATGTCATGCTGTCTTTCTTAAGGAGGCAACATTCATTAGACATAAATACTGTGATGTGAATCACGATGTTGTAGGATGCTCTTAGAACATTTAAAGTTTCTACAAGGGCACATCTTTATATTTGCCATCCAGGGTAATGTTTCTTAGGGATAAGGCTGAGAGAGTTGCGGTTGTTTAACTTGGGGATGAGGAGGCTCTTGGAAGTCCTTATTGTAGCCATTCAGTATATAAAGAATGGCACTTGAGAAAGATGGAGAAAGACTTTTTACCAGGATCTATAATCACAGGACAAGGACAAATGGTTTTAAACTGAGAAAGGGTAGATTTAGGATGGCTGTAAGTGGTGGTGATGAGATACTGGAACAGTTGTCCAGAGAAGTTGTGGATGAGCATCACTGGAGGTGTTTGAAGTTGGGTTGGACAGGACTTTGATCTAGTGAAAGATGTCCCTGCCCCTTGGTAGTGGGTTGGATTAGATGATCAAGTTCCCTTCCAACACAACCATTCTGTGATTTGGTGATTTATGAAGAGGGCGGATTGATTGTTTGCAAATCATGAGCTCCAGGAGTGGGATCTGTACAAATAATTGACATCCATCTCTGTACTGAGGAAGAACTAGAGGGATGACCACCTGTGACATTCTGAGAATATCACTAAGCTTTTGGGGCTGCTGCACACAAGCAAGCTTCTCCGTAAGATCTGCTTCTACTTCTAAGAAAAATCAGTGATTTCTAAGTGTTCACTGTTACTAATAGTTAAGTAGCTTTGACCTTTATTAAATATAAACATTGATATCCATATACACAGACAATTGCTACTGCAATAATAAAACCATTGTTGTATGTTTTTTTTTTCTATTTGTACTCATCATTATTTATTATCTTTGTTACACACTTGCAACAGCAACATGTGCAAGATGTATTTACTGTGTTATTTAACAAGCCTCATCTCACACATCTGCTGATGCTTTCATCTAGAGCCTGCCACTACACTGCAGATATGGAAAACCTGACTCACAAAAGTTGGTGTGCTACAAGAAACCCATCAGCAACCTGTTGTGGAGGGGCAAAGGCTGCATGCTGGCATGTGTTGAACAGAATCCCCAAAGCTTTTTGGCAAATGGTATGAAAGGATATGCCTTTTATCTAATTTTACCAAGGGACATGGTTTAGTAGTATGGTGGTGACAGGTTGATGGTTGTTCTCAGTGACCTTTCCAACCTTAACGATTCTATGATTTACCAAATGGATCCAGGCAAGCAGGGCAGAATTGATGCTATCTAGGAGAAAAGTTAGCACTGCATTTTTTTTTTTTATTATTATTTCCAGTGGAAATAAATTCTAATGATGGCCTAAAGGTGGGAAATGCCCAGGACTGAAACCAAACTTCTCCAAAGGCTTTGCTCAGCACAGGCATGTCCTTGGCACTCAACTCTGGCACTTCGGGGTGTCTTCTTCATGCAGGGGAAGGAAGGTGAATAACATCTGCCAGCATTTGTGATGTCCTTCAAAAGAGCACTGCACACTGTCTCATAGGAGAAGGTCTGTGCCATCACAGACACACATGCAGCACTTCAGGTCAATGCCAGCAATGGCAATGGTGGAGATGCTCCCCATATGCACAGGGTGTGAGGTTGGCAGTGATCCTCAATGCCATTTTGGATTCCATGGTGGGGTGTACTAGTCCAGGGGAGGTAACAAAGCCAAGACTCAGATCCTAAGATCATATAATCATAAGACTAAAGACTCCTAAGGATCATATATAATCATAGAATAGCTTGGGTTGGAAGGGTCATCCAATCTAGAGCTGGCAAAACCCTATCAGAATTGGTATTTCTGGAAACTGGTGCGTGGAGCCAGTAGAGACCAGCCCAGTGACCAGGGCACTTCTGAGCAGAAGACAACATGAGCAATTCTCAGCTATCCAACCCATCCACATGGCAGCAAGGAAAGAAATCAGACCAATGATCAAGGAAACACTAAGGAGAAAATGATCAAAGGAAAAGAAATCATAGTCTGTCTCATCACCCTTTTCAGAAAGTATTTCTGTTATTACCCATTCAAGCATGAAACTGAGTTTATCCTTTCCCCCAGGGGTACATTTGGTCATCTCACTGTTGTGCCATAGAGAGACACTGGAGGGCAAAGTGCTGTGCTCACCCCACTCCAAAATTACCCTCTCCCCTCACAGTCCATCCTGCACAGAAGAGATGGATTTGCACTTTTTTTGGGGGGTATGTGGGTCGATGACCCCTGGACGGTCCCATGTTGAGTCCATAGGGCCATCCACCTCTGCTTTGTCCCCACGATTTGCCCCAGCACCGCGCTCTGCAGAGGGGATTTTTGTGGTGCTCACAGCCTGCTCTGTGTGTCAATACGAGAGAAGCGTAATCACCAGCTGAGAAACTGCAGGAAATAAGCCAAGGTTGAATGAACGAAATGGAAAATAAAGAGTAGCGCAAGAGGACACACACATTTTAAAACTATTACGGAGGTATGCGTTCACGTGCTCATGGGAGCCTGGGAATATATAAGAGCTCATGACTGCGAAGGAATGAATTCAAGGACCGGTCTATGGGGAGCGTGTTTTGTTTTTTTTTTTTTTCCCTGTGACTTCAAACTTCTCTCCGAGCTCACAGAGTTTTAGTCAGCTGGCATGCAACAGAGGTACGACTTCCCCAAGGAAACTCTTCCCCGGCTCGCGCTGGGACGGCTGCTGGGAGCGTCCGGGAGGCAGAAAACTGCAGGCAGAGGCGAATCCTCCTCCTCAGACCCCACATCAGGTACGTGGAGCAGCGCTGGGAAGTTGAGCTGTGAGCTTTTCAGCTGTGGGGACGCAAGGCTGCTGCCTTTAGAAATAGCACAGATGGGGAAGGTGCTGTATAAATAAGATAGCTGTGTTTATGTGCTGGTTAAACACTCGATGTAAATGTCTCTATCTGCACAGCTGTACATTCAAGTCATCGGGACTTGAGCTGCAGAGAGTTGCACTCTCTAAGTTCATTTGTAGCAATACGAGTATTAACTTTATGTTAGTGGCCACAAAAGATGAGGGGGTATGTTTTTTCCTTTCTTCACAGCTCTTTATTCTATTTATGGTGTTACTGCACTGTAGTGCCCTGAACCAGGAGTGCCGCAGAGATCGGCTCTGTGTGCACTGATTAATGCTGCTCTGCCAGCACTCTGACACTGCGTCCTCACACAGCCTTGGGCAAATCACACTGTCCCGGGCTGAAATGAAATGAAATGCTGCTTAGCTTGCTGCTCTCCTCACTATCAGTGCTGTCACTGGGCTCTCCCTGTTGGAGCATGAGGTGTGGGTTAGCATTGGTCTATTTCTCCTATCCTCACAGCTTGAATGTCACCTTGGGTGAACAGTGTCTTATTGGTAGTGGCTGTTGTGTTGCATCCAAACTCATGAGGAATTGATGTTTAGAGGATATTTGGAAATAACAAAATTCTACAAAACCCTGGTCCATATAAATGCCACAGAAAATATTTTAAAGCCAAGCTCTGTTGTGTTTTTGATCAAAGTACACCTATGTTTTATACAGAATCCAAAGTTTGGCTTTCCACAAAAAAAAAAAAAAAAAAAAAAAAAAAACCACTTTTTTTTAACCAAGATGTATTTTTTTCCAGATTTAAAATAAAATAATCTTGTTGATGATTTTTTTTTTTTTTAATTTCAACAGCAAAAATTTATGATCAGTCTTCTCTTTCTAAAGCAGATCAGTGACTGGATCAGTGCTTGGCCTTTATAGATCAGTGACTGGATCAGTGCTTGGCCTTTATTAATACAGTGATGAATGAATTCACATGAGGGTATCAGTGTTGTGTAAGTCAAATGTACAAGTAATAATTTTCCTCACTTCATTTTATCTCCCGTTGTATTGAGTATCCCCTACCGTATCATATAAATTGAGTACATCTATTCTCAAAAATCGACTCCACTGTCAGAAAAATTACTGAAATAAAAACTGATTCCTCTCTCAATTTTAACTGTGCATAGATTATAGCTGGTCAGAAAACATTATAGTTTGGTTTGTGGATTTGAGTTTCTCCAAGAATTTTGTTCTCTGCAGAGAGAATTTCGTGTTCAGATAGTTTCATCTTCAAATGCCAGCTCATGCATCTTTGGGTAGATAGAACTTTTTGCATTTTCACGTTCTGCCATCCCTTTGCTCAGCCCCTCTCTTCCAAACTACTGAGGCTGATGGTTTCATACAATTCTCATTCATTTTATATTTTTTCTATTTTTATGAAAACAGAGGTGAATGAAATAGGGGAACTGGTTAAATCCTGTATATATTTGATGTCCAAGTGGACTGGAAAGCTGATGTATCCCAGATAATCTTTGGTGGGGAAATGTTGTTGTCTGCCTGGCCTGGTAGAGATACCTAAAGAAAGAGGGCTGTGTGGGAGAGAAAGAAGGAAGGCAACAGGCAGGGAAAAAGCTTGATTCAAGCCATGCAGGTGTTGTGGGATTCATTGGTTTGTGGACTTGATGCTGGAGATACACGAGTTTGAACCTGTTTGTGGTGCCTGTCATCACAGAATAGAATGGCTTGGGTTGGAAGGATCTTCAAGGGTCATCAAGTTCCAAACCCTCTGCCACAGGCAGGATTGCCAGCAGCTGGATCAAGAGCCAGATCAGGCTGCCCAAAACCCCATCTTCTTGTTTAACATTACCAGGTACAGGGCATCTAGTTTCTCTGGAAAGCCTGTGCAATGCTTTGCCATTCTCTCAGTGAAAAATTTCCCCCTGACACCTAACTGAACTGAAGCAGGAGAGATGCCATGGGTCTCAGGAACTAGAGCTGTGTGTCCTTCTGAAAGTCTGTGCCTGAGGATGGCCTGGGATATTTAGTTTTCGTTAGGATTAATATTACTGTTGCACCCAGCTCCCTGGTGGGATGAATCACTGGGGAGCTATTCTGGCCTAAGGGAGCAAGACGTGTCCCACTCCTGCCCTTGCAGTTCAGACCCACTTTCTAAGGCGGGAGTTTGTTTTGTTTACTTCTCTGGAGAGTTTGATTCATGCAGCTTGACACAGGACTCAACCCAAAAGCAGAGCCTTAGAAAGCAGCAGCGTTATGGATGGACAGACTCCAAAAGGGCTGAAAGTTCAAGACATATAATCGTCAAGACATGTTCTTGTTTATCAGAAACCCTTGGGAACCTGCAGCAAATTGTGGGCAGGCTCGTGAGAGCCAAAGGCTGGGATTTGCTTTTCCTACTGTGAGCTATGCTGGGAAGAGGTTTTGGAGTGGTCTCAAGAGACACCCATCTCTGTGTTGTGTTGGATCCCTAATTCATAGAATCATAGAATCATAGAATCATAGAATCATAGAATCATAGAATCATAGAATCATAGAATCATAGATTGGCTTAGATTGGAAGTGATCTCAAAGCACACCCAATTCCAATCCCTGCCACAGGCTGGTTGCCCCCACACCAGCTCAGGCTGCCCAAGGCCCCATCCAACCTGGTCTTGAGCACCACCCAATCCATCTGATGGATACTGCATTGAATCATTGAGATTGGAAAGATCAACAAGTCCAACCTACCATGAGCATTAAACACGTCCCTCAGTGCTATATTTACCCTTTTCTGGACCTTTCCTGGACCCTACACCTCTGGGGACAGAGACTGCAGATGCCAAGTACACATGGTTCAAAAGCCTTTTAAGGTGTAAACTGCTGGGTAGAAAACAGCATGAAAATATTGGCAATAGGAAGTCATCCAAAGGCTCCAGGGTCTGAAGCTTTTGTTTTCTGATCCTTTTTATGAAAGAGGGCAAAGATAGTAAGGATCTCGCTATGGCTGATCATTCCCAGGGTGATTGCTGTGCCTGTAAGGCAGTAGTTTTAATGACGTAAAGTCCTGAGCAGCAGAATCAGTGCATGCCCTTCCCTCCTGCTTTGCCATTTGTTTCTGTCCAGGCTCATCTTCACAGTTGAGATGACACAACTGTGTGGCCACTCAATAAATCAGCCTAAGGTAAAGAAATGCAATGTAACCCTGTTATTTTACCAGCAAATTCAAGCTTGGCAAAGTGCTCTGAAAAGTCAGGCATCAGAGAATGTGGGGCTGCAGTCATTCAAGGCACTCACCACTCTTTGTTGTAGGTAGATTTGTATTCCATCTCCAAATACAAGTCAGATTTAATCATAGAATCATTGAGGTTGGAAACAACCATTAAGAGCATCAAGTCCGACCCCAACTCATCCCCACCATGCCCACTGACCACGTCCTTTAGTGCCACACCTCCATGGTTATTGAATGTCTCCAAGGATGGTGACTCCTTCACCTCCCTGGCAGCCTGGGCCAGTGCATTACCACTCTTCTGGAGAATAATTTTTCACAGAATCACAGAATGGCCAGGGTTAGAAGGGACCTCAAGGATCATCAAGCTCCAACCCCCCTGCCACATGCAGGGCCACCAACCTTCACATTCAATACTACACCAGGCTGTCCAGGGCCCCATCCAACCTGGCCTTGAGCACTTCCAGGGATGGGGCATCCACAGCCTCTCTGGGCAGCTGTTCCAGCACCTCACCACTCCCTCTGTAAAGAATTTCTGCCTGACATCCAGCCTAAATCTCCCCTCCCTCAACTTCAGACCATTTTCCCTTGTCCTGCAGTCATCAACCCTTTCAAAGAGTTGATTCCCCTCCTGTTTGTAGGCTCCCTTTAGGTACTGAAAGGCTGCAATGAGGTCACCCTGCAGCCTTCTTTTCCGAATAAGCCCAGCTCCCTCAGCCTGAATTCACTGGGGAGGTGCTCCAGCCCTCTGATCATCTTCGTGGCCCTTCTCTGGACCCTCTCCAACAGCTTCATGTCTTTCTTGTACTTTTTTCCTGACACCTAACCTGAATGTGCTCTTTCCGAAGGAAAAATATTTGACATTTTTGATCTTTTTTTTTTTTTTTTTTGGATATTTGATACATGATGTTTTCTTTGCGAAAGTATTTGCAAGTTTCAAGCAGTATTGCATGATGCTGATGATGCAACCCAGAGCATCCAAAAGGCATTGTAACCTTCAGACACCACAATGGTCCTGGGGTCCAGGTTAGTGACATTCTCACTGGCAAGCATTTCTGTTGAGAGTTAAGCCTGTGCTTTTCTATCTTCTGTACCTAACTGTACCCCTTCCCAGCTACACACATACTGACACATCTTCATAGCATTTAATCTCTCATTTTGGGGTGCACTGCAAGCAAACAGTTTGATAAGAGCCCAGTTCTGGTGTATCCCAACCACAGGAAAAGCGTGTTGCAACACTTCCGGCTCCTGAGCCTGGGGGACAAGAGTGGTGAAATCAGTGTAAAGGAGTGTTTTCCAAAATCAATCCAAAATTAGAAAAAGGAAGTGAGGAAACCAGCAATTAGACTGCTGCTCCAGCCCTAGAGGGCAGCAGAAAATAATAAATAAAAAGCAGAGCCCGCAAACATCACAGCAAAAGCATCCCTTTTGCAATAGGATTTTCTACTAATAGGTTGGGCACACTGAGCAGTATGATGTACAGAAGCTTGGACCACTCCGACTCTATCAATCTCCTGAAGCCTTGCTTTATGCCTGGAAAACCCCAATAAATCTTCAGTTCAGGTGCACTGTAGCTGACTAGGCGATGGACTGGATGATCATGGGTGGGCTTTGCCAACTCTGATGATTCTAGACACAGAACACCCATCCTGCCATCAGATCATAGGACGCTGTGGGCAGCAAAAACAAGAGGGAGAGTTCAGATTTGAAGATTACGGGCTTTCTGTTTATCAGCCTT